CTAGATAAAAAGAAACCAGAGTGTCACAAGTACCTTGGCCAAATAAGACCAAACTCCTTGCGTCATTTTCAAACCTCATGTACTAATCTCAGTGCCAGATCAGTGTCCAAAAATCACTCCTCTTACACTGTTCATGTCCATAGCTCTGATCACAACATGACAGGCTAAAATAAGTGTTTGCAGTGCTAGCTCTTGAGAATTTTGTTGAGATCTTCCTTAAGCAAAATGGCTTTTCCATCATTAAAAGGCTGTAGACCTGTGACCTGGACTAACGCTAGGATTTGAGGGAGAGGCTTGTGTGGTACTTCATTTCAGTGACTCAAGTGTCTAATTAAATCTACAGAATTCTCAGTCAAATACCTGAGCAGTACATACTAAATAAATTAGCAGGCTGTTTAACCATCAAGACCTAAACTCTCTCAGTCAAGCAACTCTGTTCCACCCTTCTGCAATTTAGAGGAAGTTTAGGTGTTTGTGTCTGAAAGATTAATGTTGTTAATTGACCACTGTCATTCTAAGATCTTGGTTGCTTTAACATCAAGGAGTTCTAGCCTGTATAGCGACTAACGCTGATAATCTCAGCACTTAGGAGTCTCAGCATTCAGGCAGAAGGATTATGAGTTTGAAGTCAGTCTAGACTACACAGAACTTGTCTCGAAAACAAAAAATGAGGGCTAAGAGTGGTATTACCCATTTGTAATCCCAGCACTTGAGAGGCTAGAGCAAGAGGATTGCTACAAGCTTGAGGCCAATCTTGGTTACACAGTGAAATCCAGGTGGGAACTCATAGAATACAGGTAAGACCACGGCTCCCAAAAAGTAGAAACCAGGGAAGCCCAGCTCAGGGGCACAGAATGTCACACTGTGTGGGACTGCTGAGATCCACCAACAATGTTTTCCAACAATGCTGTTCTCCTTTCACAGTTATCACTCAAAGTTTGGTGACATAAGCCCATTCTGAAACTCAGGTGAAAAGTCAAAAGAAGTATATGAGAATGTCCCATGGTAAACATTCTTCAGCATTCCAACTTCTCTGGGTTAGAGATTTATTAATGTGTGTTGTGCTAAGGAAGTAATGGTACCTCCACCTTTTTGAAGTCATTACTGCTGTGTTCAGATGTAAGTAAATACACTGAGTAAGCAGTTAGAACCACACCTAGCTGTTAGAGGAATTAGAGTTTCTACAGAATCCCCAGCAAAGCATCGGTGACATCAATGGTGCCCAGCACACGCTATTTGTTTTTCATCATGTCATAAAACCTTGAGAGCAATTCTGGCTCATATGCTTCCTTTAGTGTCTATTAAGATAACTTTGGAAAATATCAACTTTGTTTGAGTTTGTGTGCCATTTCTCCTGGATGTATCAATGTAATCACTCCCACCTTCTGTGTTTATCCTGATTGTATATCTGGAAGCAATGGGAGGTAGTAGAGGTGGATCGTGAATAAAATCAGCATTGTCTTAGATTATGGTTTTGATGTCAAATGCACTGCACATGTTCATGTGTTTGAACACTTGGTTCCCAAGCTGATGGAGCTGTTTTGAAACGTAGTGGAACTTTTGAAAAATATTTCCTAGTCAGCAGAAATGGGTTGCTGGGATGGGCCTTGAGGCCAGAGCTCCTTCTAGTTCTGCCTGTGCTTCATGCTGCCTGATCTAGCCCCCAGGTGAGAAGCAGGAGCTGATCACATGGTCCTGTGTCAGGGCTAGTCACGATTTCTCCACCATGATAGACTTCTCCCTCTGAAACCATAAGCCAACATAAATCTCTTACCTTTAATTTGTTTCTGTTAGATACTTTGTCATACTGATGAGAATAGTAGCTAACACTCCTTAAAAGGTTACTTCACTGAGGTCAGTTAGAATCTTCAAAGGGGAGACAATGTCCACAAACAGGGAACTGTTTTTAGTAGAAAAGTAAAGATAGGTGGGTTTCAGCATGTGAAAATTCAGACTTAGAATTATACTTCTTCCCAATGAATACCCTAGCTTTTACATAAAAGACCTACTTGAACTGAAATCACGGTCTTTCTTTTAAGTTTGCAGCCCACATAATCAAACCTTATGCCTGCTTTTTTAGTTAGTAGTACTGCATCTACAAGTTAGGAAAAGTGTATTTTTAAGAACAACCTAAGATTTTTGATCCTCAGAAATGATTGTGCTATGAACTTGTCTTCTTTTGTTCTGTAACCACTGCAGAGACTTGTCCCCTGTTGGGTGCACTACTTCCTTGAATACATATTTGCTCATCCTCTCTTCTAACAACCAGTATCCTCTTCTCTGTGGATGAGGGTAACATGGTGCTACCATGGCCAATCCTTGATTCCTACCTGGGAAGTCTGCTTCCTGATCATCATTCTCATTATCTATGGCCGTCAGCTAGGCTTTGGTGACAGAGCAGAAGACATCATGAGGATGTGCATAGGAAGGAACTTAATAGAGGCAATTAGAAACTCACAAAACCATTTGAAAATCTGACATGGAAAAGGCAGCAAAGATCCATTCGTTCAAGGCATCAAAAGGTGAGGAAGTGCAAGGAACCACCACCGATTTCCTCAGCTGAATCAGCCCCAAAGGGAGTGGCTCAACCCAGAAACCAAAAGCACTGTCAGAACCCCATCTGTCCTTATGATGTTCTTCATCTACCTACAGTCGCTTCCTTCTCTCTGCCCAAGAGACAACTCCCCATGGGTCCATCATGTTTCTGTACATTTTGCAAGTAAAAGCATTTATCAACATTTTTCTAGATTATACAGCACATAGCCTTGGAAGAGCAGAAAATGTCTTCCTGTAGGGTAAAAGCTAGATAAATGACTACTCAACTTAAAAATCCCTATGCCCTGGGCTCAGAATTCTCCTGTAACTCTCTCTACTCTGTGTTCAGATATCAGGAGATCTGTGTCTCACAGAACAATGAAAATGCTGACCCTGTGGTATTGGCTGTTGCTCTAAATAGGACAAGTTTCTCATGTCTAGGCCAGAAGTCTTAGGTCTTCTGCCAATTTCCACGAAATAGTGACACATTCAATTATTAACTTTCAGGAAGGACCAACTTTCAGAAACTTTCTGCTCTTAATACTAAATTGCATATTTTATAGGCAGACCTTTGATTCCTAGACACAGAAAAATAGTACAGAAATAAGAAAAATAAACATTGCCCTTCCAGTTCCCTTTAAAATATTATCCTTAAGGGCTAGAGAGATGACTTGGCAGTTAAGAGCACTGGTTGCTCTTGTAAAACATCCAGGTTTGGTTCTTGGTAGCCCATAACCCTCTATAACTCCAGTTCCAGGGGATCCAACACCCTCTTCTGGCCTCCACCAGCAGCATACACACATTATGAACTTATATACATGCAGGAAAAACACTCATATGCATAAAATAAAAATAAGTCACTTCAAAAAACTAAAAATATCATCTTATTTTTATTAATATTAGCAAACGAAAATACTTCAAGCTTTATTTTCTAGTTCATTAACTATATCTTATATTTTGAACATTCATGTAATTTGTCTTATATATGCATTAAATATTTTAATTATTTACATTTTTTTCCTTTTTTAGACAAGGTCTCATTCTGTAACCCAGGCTAGCCTGCAACTCACTATGCCACACTGTATAACCCAGGCTAGCCACAAATTCCTAGTAGTCCTCCTATCTCAGTCTACTGAGTACTGAGATTGCAAAGGTGTGCCCACATTTCTGGCTTCCTTTTTGCTGTTATTTGGTTATTTGTTTTTGTTTAATTTGTTTTGATTGGCTATTTTAGGTTTTTGAGACAGGATCTTGCTATATTGCCCAGGTTGGCTTAAACTCATGATTTTCCTGCCATACAAACAACTTGAACAATGTAATTCTTAATCTCAGGCCTAAAGAGCTGGCTCAGCAATGAAGAGAATTCACTGCTTTTCCAGAGAACTAGAGTTCAGTTCCCAGCTTTCCTATCAAGCAGGTCATAATCACCTGTAACTCCAGCTCCAGGAAATCCGATGCCCTCTTCTGGTATCTGCAGGCATCCACAAGCACATGCACAAGGACACATGCACACACATATACACCTACACATAATTTAAAAAATAAAATAAACCTTTTAAAAAGACTTAATGTCTACTTAGCTTTCAGTTTTAAATCATGAGCATAACATACCTTGTCTCTATTTTATATAATTGTATTGTTATTTTTCTTCTTAAGTTAAAACTACTTCATATACTTTTTTGGAACTATAAGTTTAGTTATATTCCTTCCCTTGACGTATTCCTATCTTCTCAAGTTTCTGAGATATTTTTCCTCTATAATCTGATTTCTTATTTGAAGGAATAGTTTTAAGAAAGTGTTTTATGATTCCTTCCTTGAATTCTTAAATTTGAAGAATGTTTATGCAAAGTACCCATTATGCTAAATGTAGAAGAGTACAGAGGAAGTTCTCTGAAAGAACTGTAAATTGCATGTTTGAGTAAAACAGAATTGCCTTAATACATACTGCACATCAAAATGCATACGGTAGAGAATGGAGATTTCTTTTAGACTTTTTCACTAGCCCAAGTCTGCAAGGTCTTATTTCATTTATCTCAACACTCTTTACAATTTACATTGGTCCTTAATTTCCCAAAGGTAATTAAGCAGCTTAAACAACAAAAGATTCACATTTTTATATCAATTGATTAAAAAATTCAAGTACTAATGCTACAAGGAAATAATTGTGCATGTTGACCAAATATATATCCAAGAGACTGTTCAGTGTAGAGTATTTTATTAGTGAAAATGTGGGAACAAACCCATTAATACCCATGAATAGCTGGGAGAAAATACTGATAAAGCTACATATTAGAATTCTACGTAACATTGTGAGTGAAGACTTAAACATCCACTAGCAAAGAATAAAAGTGTTTACAATAGAATATTGAGCTATTTGAAAGCAGATTTTATTCTACTTTACAATTAAAATGCACCTATATTTTGCACTTATTTATGTATAAGAATTATGAAGACTTTTCATCTTTAGTTGTTGGGCCTGGGTTTCGCCCTCCTACACTGTGGCAGCCAGAGGTGAACTGAGGCCCCTGGTAGCTCTGGGCACCAAATCTCAACCCAGGCCATAATTAAGCCAGGGGTGATTTATAATCAAAAGGCCAGATGAAGACTTTTCTTATAGATGAATTTTATTATTTTTTATTAGTTCTTTCCAATGATTTTATTAGTCCTTTCTAATGTCTACAGCATTCACACAGCTTTGTATAACAAGTTTCCAGCTACTACAAAAGGTATCAAAAGAGACGGACTAAGTGTATTACAAGAGTCTATAAAGACTGACAGAGGCCTCACAGTTAGAGATTTTATTCTATAAATAAATAAATGAATAAATAAATAAATAAATAATGCAACTGTGTAAGAAAGCCAAAAGATCACAAGCAAGATCTTCCATGGTATAATTAGTATTTAGTAATCTGAAATTCCTTGAGGTTACTGAAAAAAATCACATCTAAGAATGTGTTCTTAATTAGCTTTAGAACATAATTATGGGGAAAAATAAAATCAATGTCATGGTAGTTCAAGCTCCAGAGATGAGGACATAGAAACTAGGTAGCAAATTCTAAGTCTTCTCTATTTTCTTTTATATAGATGCTAAGAAAAAATTTGTGAGTGGTCCCTCCATTTGCTAACTGGAACTCAACATAAGATATGCTTATAAAAATGTATGGATGTTACCTTTTCTTGAAGGAAAGTTTCTCTGTATTCATGAAAAAAAATTCTATAAAGCGTTTAAAAGTCCCCAGTTATAAATAAAAGTATCCAATTGGAGTTTTACTCTTTACATATTTTTTTCTTTTTCTTTTTAAGGCATTTTTGAAGCCTAGCCTTAGGTCCTATTGAGCCAAATTCCTCTGGTAAAACATGTATATTAGGAGATTATAAACTTCCACACATATTCAGCAAACAACATTTTTACATACTTCTTAATTAAATCATTATCTTTCTATGTCTGGACTTCGGATGTTGGAAAACTGCCATTGAATTTCTCTATAATTATAATTCCCCCATCACTCAACTGAACACAGCTTCTGTGTGTCTGTTGCAGTTAATCACATAATTGTCTCACCAAGCTCTCACTCAGTGTCATTATCATCTCACCATCTTTTATCAGCTTAATTCTTGTCCTGGCTGAAAGAAAAGAGCAAAAAAAAAAAAAAATACCAAAAAACATACCAAAATGCACATTTTAAATCTTAAATCTCTTTACATTGTTTTCTCTGATCAGGAAGAATAATTTCAGAAATTAAAAAGTTACATGGTACAATATTACTGCCATCTTAAACCAATCAGTAATCCAGGTTATCAAATAAATCAAGATAACATAACATCTAACAGGAATTATACATCCTGAGTTTCCTTTCTCTTAAACAACTAGCGATTTTCTGTTCTTTACCCCACCTAACTCCAAGAATGAAATTATTTCTTCCCAAGATTGCTATAGAATCTTCCCTTTTGGCCTTGTTATGCAGATAAAATAAATTAAAAAAAAAAAAACCTGAGTCTAACAGTCAAAGTGGTAAAAGGGAATTTACTTAGGAACTATTGTTACCAAAGAAAGACAATAAAATTGGACTAAATTCCAAATACAGGAAACGTGGATAGTTACAACCACCAAGCAAGATAGGGGTTCCTGAACAGAAAAACATTTCTAAAAGAAACATCAGAGAAAAGGTATATTCTTACTAAATGGGCCTAGCAAGCTTTGCTATAATTAGGCTCTTAAAAGAAGCACTCAAGTCTTGTTCATCAGTCCACCTAGGTCTCTAGTCTGACTGAAGTTTGGTTGTTAAAGAAATATTTCTTTGAAATATTATGTCTATTTCTCATTCGATTACCCCTTTCTCCTTAAAACCCAGCAGAACCATCTGTTAGGACTTGGTAGTGAAGAATACTTGCTTAATAGTACTATAAGTCAGGCATAATGAGCAGAATTTCAACAAATTAAAAGAAAGATGAAAGTTGGAGTTGCAGGTACTGATGGAAGGGGGTTGGGGATTGGGGGAGGGAGAATTGAGGGATGGGGGAGGGTAGATGTTGAGAACATTCTAGATATTAGGCAGGATGATAGGGTCAAAGTGATAGAGATCCAGGACTGTGTTTTGAGTGTCTTTGGGAATGGGGCTATGTATTTGCACTTACTGTCCATGTAGACTACACAGCACTGGGCAGAAAGTTTGTCCACATATAATCAATAGTGTCAGTTCTTCACCATTTATATAAAATTGTCCAGCTTTAGTTCACAGAACTCCATGAAGGGAGTTTATTTCTGTGTCTCCAAGTCAGGAGAGTGGGAGGAGAATTGAAAACTTTAGTTTGGAAAATTATAGCCATTATAACCAGAAACTATGAGTATTCAAATCTGACAGCTCAACACAGTGATGCCTGCCTATAGTCCAAGCATGTGGGAGGCTACAGCAGGAGGATTACTTGAGCCCAAGCATTTGAGAGCAGCCTGGGAATAAAGCTTCACAGCTAGACACCATGAAAACAGGGAAAAGGGAGAAGAAAGGGAAGGAGAAAGGAAGGAGGAAGGAGGAAGGAAGGAGAGAAGGAAAGAGAATCACTAGGGTATACTACAGTTGTCTTTTTATGGTTGTGACATTTATAATATGAACATACCCTGGAAAATGACTTTTATCTAACTTTACAACCAAAAGGTTAATCTTATTTTAGCTTCTTTTATAATATAGACAAGCTCACTGAGCCCTGTGTTCCTCTTGTGACCTGAGCCTTAATCTTTCATGACCCTTCCTTGCCCTGGACTTAAAATAATATATAAATGATAATGTGTGTATATATTGTATGTATCCAAAAACTGCAAACAGTGCTTATCTCATTGAAAATAATGGCAGAAATTGATAACATGTGTTTGTGGGTATGATAGGGGTCAGAATTAATATAATCTTCAGATAAGGGTCTGTCTTTTACTTCCCCATTTCATGATGAAGATACTATTTCAAGAAAAGAATAAGCAATCCCTTATTTCAGAGCACAGTTCCTAGAGAATTCTGAAGAGGCAGTTTCTCAACAGTTAGGGTCCACTTGGCCTAACATGAATGGTTAAGAATCAGGCTGTTTTCATTTAAGCATTAACATAATGTGGCTTTGTGTAGTAATCCCCTCTGTGTCATTGAATCTTCACTGTCAACTTGACTGAATGTGGAATCACCTAGGAGACATACTCTTGGACATGTCTGACATCCAGAGTGGTTTAACCAAGGTGGGAAGACCTTCCCTGAATGTGAGCAGCAGCATCGGATAGGCTGGGATTTCAGAATGAACAAAATAGAAAAAAAAAAAAAGGGAAAAACAAATAAACAATCAACAAAACCTGAGCACCAGTATTTCCTCTTTCTCTGCTTCCTACAGCTGGATGTAATGTGACCAGCCACCTCACTCTTCATACCGTGCCTTCCTAGCCATAATGGACTGTATCCCTACACACTATAAACTGAAATAAGCCCTTCCCCTCTTAAGTCAAGTATTTTCTCACAAGAAAAAAAAGAAACTAATGAAAATCTTATTTTGATTCTAATGTATAAAGAAGGTCTAGTTTCCTTAAATTAGATTTCATTGCATACATATGTGTAGCAATAATAATCACTGGCCAGGTAATTCTTTTTTAGTTTACCTTGTTGGAACTTTTCATGAGGAATCTAAGACTATAAAAGGCCTCTAATGCTAGGAAGCTGTTAAGCTCTGAACGTGAAATGTCCCTCATAGGCTAATGTTTCAGACAATTGGTTGCAGTAGTCAGTGCTGTTTTGGGAGCTGTGGAGCCTTTCTTGGGTGGAGACTAACTGGCAAAATAGGTCTCTGGTGGTGGTTCTATGAAGGCTAAACCCTGTCTGCTTTGTCCCACACTATCTGCATCCTGGTTTGCTATGGTGTATGTATCCTTTGCCACAGATTCTCACAGCCATGAACTGAGTTAATCTATCTACCCTGTCTCCCCTGTCATGATGGTATGAACACCTGTGAAACAGTAAGCAAATAAATCTTCCTTGTGCTAGATAGTATCGTCACCTGGGTAGAGGGAACCCCAAGTGAAGATTTTTCTTGATTAGATTATACTGTGGCCATGTCTGTGGAGAATTTTCTTAATTGTTGAGTGATATGGGAAGGGAAAATCCATTGTAGGTGGTGCCACCACTGGAAGATGGTCCTAGGTTACGTAAGAAAGCAGGCTCAGCACTGGCCAGAGGAGCAAGCCAGCAAGCAGCTTTCTTCCATGGTCTGTGCTTCAACTCTCTTCCAGATTCCTGCCCTGAGTTTCTATCCTCACTTCCCTCAATGATGAATTGTGATCTGGGAGATGTAAGATGAAATCAACCCTTTCCTCCCCAAGTTGGTTTGTCTTTATCACAGCAGTAGAGGAGCAGACTAGGACACTCATTTAGGGTGCTTTTGTCAAGTGTTCTTGTGACAGAGCCTCACAAGTGACACAGAAGTCAATACAAGAAGAGTCATCAGACTTCACCTGCATTCCTAGAAATAAGTGTAATTTCTTTTTTCTCATGGACCTCAACACACTTCAAAGTTTCTAGAATGATCAGAAAGTAAGACTTTTCTTTTTAACCTCTGGTGGTAGGAACACCATGAGCCAGGAACGAAGGTTGTTTTTCCAAGACTGCGTTTTAAATATTGTTTCCATAATGCCAATGTTAGTGCCCAAAACTAGATGCTATGCATGTTATTCTTCAGTATGACATTTCAAAGCTTTGGTAATATAACCAGTGTTCCCAATTATGTCTTGTTACAAAGAGAACAGATTCTTATTGAACTTATGCCAATAACTAATTGCCAAGAAAATATGAATATTCAACAAGGGTTTCCAAATTCTGAAGGCATCAAGTAGGGAGAAAATATAAATGTTTCATTTCTGTTTACAATAGTATGATAACTTAAGAAAACAGATTAGAGCTGACTTATATCTGGAAATAAAGTATTATAGAATTTTTGTGTTCCAAACTCTCACTACTGATACTGGACCAATAGCTTAAAAAACCCATTAACCTCTCCACTAATTGTCTGTAGTCCTTACTCAGATCAGAGGTATGGTCTTATTTAAACCATGTCATAGAAAAACATTGTG